TACAGATGTGTATTCTGTGAAAAATAATATTTTTATATTACATTTTATATTAGCAAAGCTATATATTCCGTGAAGCGCTTTGAGACGTCTCAACGATGTGATAAGGCGCTATATCAAATGCAAGGATTATTATGATTATTATCCCATTACCACTCAGTCAGTGACTAAGCATTGTAAGGCAATGATGTTGCTGCAAGAGAAATGCATAGTGCAGGTCACCAAGCTCCTAGTCCAGGCAGAGGGAAATGATAGGACAGAGTTAAAAGTAATAACACTTCATCGAATTCAACCAATAAGATGGCAAATGAACACTGAATGTACAACAACGTTGCACATATGGGTTTTTATGGCCTGCCTGGTTGTGATTTAGAGATTATTGACAAGCATAAAAAAATCATTTACACCACTGTATTGGATTTTGTGGTACTCTCCAAGGATCGTAAAAAAGATATAAGAGAGATCATTCTCTGCAGGGCAATCTCAGGATACAATCCTTGCATTCGATGCTGAGCTGTTTCAAAGTGCTGTTAAGACGTCCCTACCAACCTGCCCGCTCCCTCCATTCAGCGGGCTCCGGCCTGCTCCGTGTCTCCCTACTATTGGTGGCCGAGCTTTCAACCTCTCTGCCCCCACACTCTGGAACTCCATCCCACAGTCCCTTCTCCTCACTTCCTCCCTTGCTCCTTCAAGATCGGTCTCAAGACCCTCCTCTTCGATCATGCCTTCGGTCGCCCTCCCACCTCTCTGCCTTCCCTCACAACCACCCGCCCCCCCATGCTCGGGTCCTGACCCCTGACTGTCCAGCGCCTGGGGACGTCCTCCCGACGTGAAAGGCGCTCTATAAATGCAATTTTGTTGTTGTTGTCTCAAAGCGCTTCACAGAATATATTGTAAAGTGACTTGACTGTATATTTTGCAGGCAAATCGCGACAGCCAATTGTGCACATCATTGCCCCTTAAACAGTCACTGATTTTTTTTGTAGCGATTACTATCCACGGAGGGCAATAAACTAATTGATTAACATTTTGCTACATGCCAAAAACCAAACAAACTTGTCTTTTTTAAGCCAAAGTTAATCACTCTCGTGAAAGCGTATCCATTAACTCTATTACTAGCACTGTTACTTCAACACCTCCACATCTACAGTGGTGTGTTACGCTATTAAAACTATTATCTATTAACAACTTGATAGAAATGAGTTGAGAATTACCAAGGTTTTGAGGCTCAATGTGTTTTGAGCTAATTAACAAGTAGCTACTATTGCACAAAGTTACAGTGGCTTACTGTTAAGTATCAGTCTGGCTCAATTAGTAACACTCATTTCTGAGTCAGAAGGTTGTGGTTCAAACTCCACGTCAGGACTTTGAACTCATGGTTCAACCTAATATTCCAGCATTTCAGAGGTACCGTCCTTTGGAAGAGACGTTATCCGAGGTCCCATTTGCCAGTTCAGCACCTTGGGACGTCTCCCGACATGAAAGGTGCTGTACAAATGTAATCTGTTGTTATTGTTGTTCAGGTGGATGTTGAATGGCACTACTTAAAAAGTGAAGGGAGTTTCCCCCGGTGTCCTGACTAACACATCAGATAAAATCAATCATTCACTTCATGGCTGTTTGTGGGATATTGCTGTGCATAATTTGGCTGCCCCAGCATTCTGCCACATCACTACATTTTACAATAAACCTGGTGAAGATATTTTGATGATGCAATAAGACACTGAACCAAGTCCAAACATTATTTATTATTAATTATTTTCAAGGCTCAGATAGAAACTGAAAAGGTTTTGTTTGTGGCACGGGGACATAATGATATACAAATCTGTGGGAGAGAACATTGCAAAAGAGCGAGGCATCTTTCAGCATTTGATTCTTCCACAGAATACTGTCTGTATCTCACCCTGAGGAGATGCAGAATGCTACCTTATTAATCGCTCCCAGAAGAAAGCTTCTTACTTGAACACATTAATTGCTTTCCTTGGTGTCTCCAGAAACACACTGCTGCCATGTTCGTCTACCCCCTGCAGGGGTATGTTAATGATGGTTTAAGCAATTATCACTATTGCATTGTTTCTAATGAATTTCAGTTCCCCCTCCCGCGCACAAGCACGCACACACACACAGCAGCAGCAACACAGCAATATCCCACAAACAGCCATGAAGTGAATGACCAATTTTGTTTGATTAGATAATTGTGTCAAAAGTGCTAGTAATCCAGAGCAGATCAAACAGCACCTGAAAGAAAAATGCTCTTGGGAAGAAATTACACCTTGATCTATTTATGTAGTATTTCAGAGCATGCAGAATTTTCAAATAACAGCCTTAATTTTGAAATCAATTTTTTGTTAGCTCTTTTAAGAAGCACAGAAAATTGACTTCAACATTAAAACTCAATTCAACAATTTGCCAAATTCAGGATGCACTAAAATGCTACATAGAGTAAATCTAGACCCAGGTAGAATTAATCCCCATTCATAGGTTATCAAATAGGATAACCATTCCTTTTTATTAGGACTGCCCTGATGAAGGGTCAGATCTTGAAACACTAACCTATTTTTCCTGTTTAAGATGCTGTTTGATATGCCGTACAGATCTGGTTTCATCATTTCAGACTTCCCACATTTACAGTTTATATTGATGATACAGTATCTGCATTTAATCTTCTTGTTGTTATTGCAGTGTGCTACACGTTTGGTTTTTATTGTTTTAAATTTCATTACATTAAATCCCTTCTACTATTGTGCAGTACTATTGTTTTCTAAGAATGCACTCCCATGCCATCAGTGAGATTGGAGAACTGTCTCGGTTTGGGAATTTCTATATTCTTCATGAACGGCCGACAGGAAAATAATAATAATCCTTGCATTTGATGTAGCGCCTTATCACGTCATTGAGAGGTGTCTCAGAGCGCTTCACAGAATATATTGTAAAGTGGAGTGACTGTGTGTATGAAATAGTGTTTCATTTCTAAACTTCCCTGTGAAACTCATTTCAAAACTTAGTAGAAAATAGGAGAATTCACAAAATGAACTGTGGGGGAGAAAGGGCAAAAGGATGAGAAAACATACACTTTAAAGAGTGGTGATGGGTTTAATCTGAATTGATAGACGTTATATTCTTCCAATTTTAAGTCTTCATAGGCTGATCCATTCCCTGGTCGAGAGGGTACATAGATGGCAACTTCCTAGGCCTCTACAAGTCTCACTGTGTAACCAGTCACTGGATGTAGTGTAAGAAATGAGTATGATAGATAGGGTGGCTCTGTCCACAATCTGCCCTCCTTCCTTCTGGAGCAGTGTCTTCAGTGCCCTCCTTCCTTTTGCTTCGTACCTCTCTACAATGACGTGTCTGAGAGTGGTACTCAGCAGGAAGGGAGGGAACATAAACCCACATCTTGCCATGCTGCGCCACACAGTAGTTAACCTCCACAGTGCAGCACTAATCAGTCAGACTGGGGCATGAAACATGTATTCAGTTCAGGCTTTTCATTCAAATTGACTCTAATAGAAACAGTCAAGTGTGCATCAATGATCATGTGCTTAAGTGGAATTTGCATTCTCAACCTCCATGATCTTAGTAAACTTTACATTTGCGAACAGGCAATGAAGCACAACAAGTTGGGTAAAGCCAATTTGAGCTGCTCTCTTCTTCAATGTATAAACAATGTAACAAGCAATTCTATATTGTGAAGTAACAGTGCCCCCTACAGTTCAATAAGAATAACACACACCCAAAGGAGGAGAGAGCAGGTGTGAAGGGGGGAGAAATTGCTTCTATGCAAATTATACCCCGTTTTTCTTTTTTTTAATAAAGTACCAAGTTATACCTTCCCTGCTGGAGGATATCCTAACTTCAAAGTATAAAATCAACCTGGCCAACAATCCCTCAGATAAAATTGACTTTCATTCACTTTGTGGCTGTTTGTGGGACATTGTTGTGTGCAGATCGATGCATTCATCTACCAAGTAGTCACCGCATTTGCTGTATATCACGTGAAGCAAATTGAGACATCCTGTCTACGTGAAAGGCATTATATCAAATGCAATTATTATTCTCCTGCGAAGCACTCTGCTCTCAGTATTGGGACATTCTGCACACATTCCACAATAGTTCCACTGATTTTAACAGGAGCCACTGTTTTATACTTGCATTGGACACTCATTAGGAGTACACACACTAGTATAACATCAGAGATATTGACCAAGGTATCACTGACAATGAGATCTTTGCATTAGTTTTGCGAAAGTTTTGAACCATTTCAATTAAAATACACCTGAATGATAACTCCTTCTCCCCTACATTTTACATTGTAGGGGGAAGATTTAACCCGTGATTTTTCACCTTTTTTTTAGCAAAGCAAACTGACAGAGCGAATGTTTAGAGGTATTGAAATGTACGATGGTATTCTGTACTTATTTCTATGTTGTGTTATCTTATGATCCTCATTTTGGTGGAGATTCTTTCTTTCTTCAGTGTGTCCTGCCCTATAGCTCATTCCCAGTCAAGGAAGGTGGTGTGGGACTTCCTCTCAGGTAATAATAATAATAAAACTAATAATAATTGATAAGGTCTGGCAATACCACTTCGGAACCAATGACTGGCAGGTAGAAAAAAATAGCACAGCCTGTTGTGTCCCCCAAATTTCTCTGCCGATGGAGCTATTATCTTTGATGAACACAATTTCTGTCCGTATGGGGGAAGAAAGAACAAAAGGATAAGGAAATCAACCACTGCATACTTGAATGAGCAAACACTGGTTTATATTATACATATTTTCTTTTCTCCTGAGTTAATGTGGTTTCTTTTCATCAAGATTTCATCATTATCTGTGCTGAATGCAGTCAGTGCTTCCAACATCAAGCAGCCACACAGTCTACTTGCAATGTTTAGTAACAAGGCATAGATGAAAGAATTAAACCTCAAAAAAAGGTAGGCAGTGCAAGTCTTGTCAACTCACCAGGAATGCTGTCTCCTTTGAAAAAGATGAATGGCAGCTCATGTACAAATATTATTTTTTAATAAAGGCAAACAGTGATACTGTGTTAGCAAGCACAATGGATGAAAAAATGTACAGACTCAGACTGTCAAGACCATTTTGCATTGGACCCGATGCATAAAACCAACAGCAACACTGCAAGGCCATCACAAACCAACGATTCCCACAAATTGTGGAAGCAATAAGCCAGAACATGGAGCAGCTACATACAAAGGATCATGACTGTGATTGTGAAGGGCAATAATGCGTCTGGTGCGATGCCAAATTGAACACATCGGTTTCCGTGTCAAGCTAAGCTCCTTCGAATTAGGGATGTTTAAACAAGTGAAGGGTCATCTGTGAAACTTTGGTCGTTTCCTCAGTTTTCTGTTGTCCATGTCTTCAGTAACGTCTGGTGGGTCTGGTACAACGAAGCCATCAGTCAGTCGATAATACACTACAGTGGAGTCAGAGTCAACAATGGCAAGGATAATAAACAGAGCTTGCTGTTCACTTTGGTTACAAGTCGACTCCATGATTCTTCTGATCCTGAAACAAATGAATACTTGTAAGATGTAGAAAGGGATCCTCAGGCATTTCCTTCAATGCATGGCTAATTAATGTGACTAAACAGTGTGTTTTGTTGAGACAGGTTATCTTGGATGGGTTGGTGATGGAGACACTACAGTTTGCTTCAACATTATTAAAGCGGGAGGAGTAATGCACAGTTGACCTCTTCCTTGTCGTTATGCAGCTAGCGGTTACTGACGTGTAAGTCACCAAAAGAAAAAACAATTGACTTCAAACACCGACCTATACTCACAGGCCAGGCCGGCCTCTGCCTAAGGCTGTGCCATGGAAGCCAACAACAATTTACATTAATATTGTGCCTTTCACATCGGGAGGATGTCTCAAATGCTTCACACAGCTGACTGGGAGCTCGAGCAGACAGGGGGGAGGTGGTGAGAAGAGAGGTTAGAGCTAAGAACTCAAAGTCAGCAGTTTTGCTCCCAGCTCACCACATGGGATAAAACTGAGGTTAAAAAGAGTATTTCAAATTATTTCAGAGCAGTGCCGAATTAAGAAGTGAGGGTTAGCTGACAGCTCAGTCAGGGATTGGCGCACATTCACAGTGAACACTTAGTATGTTGAAACAACAATGCTGAACTGACAGTTATTTGATAAAAGCATTTCAATAATCCACTAGACTGACTGGAGATGTGCGGGATGGACATAGGACATTTTTGTGGGTGAAACACGGCAGCTAATTGCGCACAGCCATGTCCCACAAATAGTCGTAGATTGAAGAAACCAAATTTTATTTTGGAAGGAAGGAATTATTATCCCCGGAAAAGCGATCTGCCAATCGACTAACAAGCGGGTTCCTACTTACTGCTAGGTAAACAGGCATGTGGAGTAAGGAAACTTGCCCAACATTTCAGCATGTTTGTGCTGGAAAAGGGTTAATGAACCCTTCGACTGACTTGACTGTGTACTTCTGCTGGAGTGAGTCAATGAAACATTAATAGCTGAAAGGTAAGTAAAAAGGCTTTACTGTGCAGTTGACCTTCGTAACAGATTATACATTCACAGGAAGCAAATGGTTAGTCAGAATAGAAGTGCACAATCTAATTTGTCTGCAAGTAAAGTCACTGCAATTCACAGTAATTCCTGTGAAGTGCATTGAGATGTTTGGACAATGTGTTAAGGCACTGTATCAAGCGCAAATAATTAATTATCAATTATTTATTAATTCAACATCAAACAATCTTCTTCTGACATGTAAATTCTGGGCAGCTCCAACTGGCTTCAGGCCCAGAATAAGGCAAGCAGAAAAGTTCAAAAAGATGAAGTGCCGCCTTCATTAAAAAAACAAAGGCCACAGCTGAATCTTTTATCATGTTGAATATTAATTTGTACAAAATAAAGTGAATATTTGCATGTTCAAAGCGAAGGTTGCAAGCGCTGGAGAAAACACAATTTGCCACTGTAGGCAGGGATACCTAACAGCCAAGCACCGTAATGCATTTCATGCAGATCAAAAAACCCTCTGACTCTGTGCCAAACACGTAATTCAACCCCAACCTTAGAAGAATCGGCCTGAATCCACCACGGGGACATTTCCGCTTCGCACACAGCCACCATTGTGCCCAAGCTAGTACTAAATTAGAGCAAGTTTGTTTGGTGGACTTCTGACCACGAGAAAATAGGCTGAAACGGTCCGAATTCAGTTCATTCAGAAGCTTTTTAGCAGTGGATCTTGAAAGAAAAATCAACAAAGGCTTCGGTACTCAAGTCAGATATCTCAAGTATCTCAATCATTACCACCGACTCCAGATAATGTCGATAACTGGACTCCAACATGGTTTGTGCTGTTTCTTCCCCGTCTCCCAAGCTCGGCATCCAACCCCCGCTTTGTCAAGCACTCCACATTGTCTTTCTAACCGAAGGGCCCTATATAAATGCAAGTTGTTGCTGCCCTAGTTTCCGTTAGCATTGTACGCCTGGTGGGAAATCACTGCTAAGTTGAGCTGCACAAGTGTAAAATAATGTCATCTTAATCTGGAAAATCTCTTAAGGCTTGTAAAAATGAATTGTAAACAGGAACGCGAGTGATACACAATCTAATAATCATAATAATCCTTGCGTTTGATATAGTGCCTTAACACATCTTTGAGACATCTCAATGCCCTTCACAGAATATACTGTAAAGTGAAATGCGGCAGTAAATAGCACACAGTGTCCCACATACAGCTGTGGATCGAATGACCAAATTTTTTTTAAAAGGAATTATGGAAATGATTTCTCCGGATCCGCCAATCAACTAACAACCAGGTCCCTACTTATTGCGAGGTAAACAGAGGCGTGTGGAGTAAGGAAACTTGTCCAATGTTTCATCCTGCCAGGAATCGAAACCAGGCTCCCTCGCTTACGAGGCGAATGCTCTAATCACTAAGCTACAGGACTCCACAACTCCATAAGCTACAGGAATCTACAACTATAACATTACATTAAATGAATTTGCATCCTTGATATGTGGAGGTAAATAGCATATTTAGAAAAGCTTTGATGAACCTGAGATTGCTTCTTCCCTTAACTCTGCACTGAAGATAAACAACACACTCGAAATGGAACGTTTCACCCACTAAGTACATAGTTACTCCACTTTACAGTATATTCTGTGAAGCACTTTTGAGATGTCTCAACAATGTGATAAGATGCTATATCAAATGCAAGGAATATTATTATAACAATTTTGTGCTCAAAACTTTACTGGAAAGAGACGTGGGGCATTATTCCTCATTGCAGTTTATGATTCAGAAGGACTTCACCACCTTCTGCCCCCAGCAGTCTCACTGATTAGGTAAATTCACAAGGAACAGATGATTAAAAACAGCTCTGGTTACTAGGCTGGGATAATGATTACAAAGTGAAGTTATCAGCACCAAATTCTATTACAACCAGTTGCCCTCAGGTATAGCAGCTAGCTCTCCAGATGAAACATTGGCTTAAGTAAGCAAGTTAATACGCTCAATGTTTATCAACCACCAAACAATTTGAATTCAAAACACAGCCATTAGCAGACACCAGTGCTATATCAGTTGTGGCAAATGTCTGAGAAGACACAGTTCAACTAAATCAGACACTTAAAATCACACAAGCACGGCCTGTGTAGCAGTGTAGCATCATAATATCCAATTTCTCCTTACAGTGGATGAATGAAGATGAATTAGAGAACAAAAACAACTGGGCACTTTAATCCTCATTATTTAACTCAACACTAACTGGGACTGTAGAAAAATACATTTGGGGTTTCTGTTTAGTTTAATATCACGGATAGTTTTCTGCAGTACTCTGTTTATAATAATAATAATCCTTGCATTTGATATAGCGTTTTTCACGTCGGGAGGACGTCCCAAAGCGCTTCACGGAACACACTGTAAAGTGAATTGACTGTATATTGGGGGCGAACGCGGCAGCCAATTGCGCACAGCAATGTCCCACAAACAGTCATATGGATTGAAAATGACCAATTCATTATTGTTTTGTTTTTTTGGAGGGATTATTATTAGGCGTGTGGAATAAGGAAACTTGCCCAAGGTTTCGCCCTCTGCCTGGAATTGAACTCTCACTTGCAAAGCGAGTGCTCTAACCACTGAGCCACAGGACTCCACAGGTTATATTAAAGTACAAGTAGATAGAAGCAATTTAAAATGACTCTTTTACTCATCAGGGAGCTGTATAGAAGATAATTTGTGGGAAGAAGAAAATAACTTGGAATAACACTTGTAGATCTGCAAGGGATAAGAAGATACAGGTCAGGGCTGTAACAGATGCGAGGAAATATTTCTTTCCAAATAGGGTAATAAAGAGTGGCAACGTATTCGCAGAAAGGTTGGACAAGTCCACAACAATGGATTCATTAAGGATGCCAAAATGGGAAGACAGAAGGTTTGGTATTCTGACAGCATAAGATCTAATGGGCTAAAGAGAATTTTTCATCTAAGCCTTTTGTAACAACTAAATGCATAACTTTTTAAAAAGTTGTTCAATATTCTGAAACACAAACTGCTTGAATCTACTTTCTATTGCTTCTCCTTGAGAACTTAATCACATTGAAATTCACAGCATTTAGCCACAGGGTACCTGCACTTACTTCAATTTCACTCGACGTCTCCAATATCATAAAATATCTAGTTTCTCATTAAACCGAGAAACTAAACCCATGGCTTCGAAGGAACAAAGATTTTTTTTGTGGAGATTGCCTGGGAATCAGCTGCAATTTATCAAACCTAACCCATCTCAGTCGCAATCTATTGCTGTAAGTTTGTGCCTATATCTGAATGGAGAGCTAATGTTTGCACAGTGATGTGGGTAACATTTCTAGCCTATGTGTAAAGTATAAATCTCCGGTCTTTTAAGTCTGTTATTGCTCCTTGACTGAGTGCCTGAGGCACCACTTTAGCCTTGTTCGGCCTCAGGTTCAGCACAATCCCTCGAAACAGCTTGCAGAATATAAAACTGCATGGGTTACATTCCATTGAAAAATGCTAATATCCGACTGGTGAAAATGAGAGGCAGACACTCCACAGTGGCTGCAATACAACAATCATCTCTTGTGCTCCAAGCTCCCCCAGTACTGTATCCGCTGTCAAATACACAGGGCATAGCAGAAGCATGAGATTTTAAACCTCAAAGCCTCTCTAACACTGTGCACTCAATATCAGGCCTGTATTAGGTAATGCGTGAGGTATGGAGAATGACTTGTGAATGACTGAATCACTGAATTTAAAATTAAACCTAAGAAATGGTACTTTAGTTGTGTACAGCTGAGCCTTATTTTCAAAAACTAGTTGAAGAAAATGAGAATGAGGAAAAATTATCCAATTACGCAAAATACAGATTCTACCATGTTAACGTTTTAAAGCTTTCTACATATTGCCCCTGCTCTCTGGAACTCCACCCTGAGTCGCTCCATCTTGTCCTTATCCTCTCACTTTCAACACTTGCCTTAACACCTATCTTTTCCATTGCACTTTCAGCTGCCTTCTTAACCTCAGTTCAAGCTCCTAGTCAGGTACATGAAGCATTTTGAGATGCCCTCCTGACCTGAATAGCTCTATATAATTCTTAAGTTGTAAGATTTGAAGAGTACTTTTCTAAGGGAAAAAAATGCCTCTGTACAGCAGGCTGCTATAGTATATTTGCTTCCTCCCCATCCGACTGGCCCACTTACTTATACGGGAGGATAAGAAAAAGGGTGAGGTACTGCTTCTGTCCAAAGCAATCGTTGCATAACTCACTCTTACCTATAAAGCACTCACGATTTACATCTTGCACACTTGTGGAAGAATAATAACTGATGTGTGTGTGACCTTGAGGGTGAATAGAGAATGCTCAGTTTATTCAATTCTATATTTATTTGCCGGGAATTCACAGGGAAATCCATCTTTAAACCCGTTTAATTCTGCCTCTTGACAACTTTGTGAATGAAATTCTGAAAGGGTCTTCAAGGCCTGTACAGCTTTGCTCTTGTTCTCTCTCTCTCAGTCCAATCTCTACTGCTCATGCAATGCTCCTGAAGTATCGCACAGAAACTGCGTAGGAGATAGGCAAAGCCATTAATGGCCAACCCATGGGAAAATAGGCTTCTAGCAGAAAGGAAATGCAGCTGGATTCCACTAATGGCAGCTGTGTTTCTCCTGACGTGAAAAGTCGCTATACAAATGTAATTTTGTTGTTGCTGTGTTCAGCCAATATGACTGAGGTTGATATCAGAAAACAGACACCTCAATTATTCTTTTGCATATGTATTCACAAGGGCAGTCCCATCTCTGAACACCATGCATCCAGTTCTCCAACCATACTGCACAGACCTAATTATTGTGCAAATTTGATTTAAAAAAACTGACAATATGGACCTACCCAAACTGACAGAAATAAAGCTCTTCTTCTCATCCACTAATTGGAGTTTGATGAATTTTTCCCCAAAAAAACAATAGTACATTAAGAAACGGATTTGAACACAAAATACAGAAAATTCACTTCATTTTTATTCAAAATGAGAAAGTGTAGGATTACTTTACGTAGCATAATCCACAATCCGTCTTTCATTTACATTCTCATTCAATGAGCTTTGACTGGCAACTGTGATTCCCATCATCCCCCTGCAATCACAGCTGTCACGAGCTTCCAGTAGCTTTGCTGGGAAAACCTTTTAAAAATCGTTAATGTAACATTTCTTGCAAGGTGATTACTGTTCACATTATAATAAATCCATCTATTCACTTGGTATTTATTTCATCCCAGTCGGTGTAAAGTTACAGGAACCATTTTTCAGCACGAACAGCAGTCACACTGACAAATTCCAATGTCAGGTGAAATCACAGAAGCTTTCCTGACTTCATAATTAGGGTAGGATTAGCTGTGTTAACCCAAACTGGAAGAAGTTTCACAGTAACTGTGTTAACCCTTCAACCACCAGGGGAAGTTCACATGTCCAGTAGTTTCTGGGACTGTCGAGACACAGTTCAAGTTCGATTTTATGTCTAAGATGGATCCATCGTACACATGAAACCATGTAAATCAGATTCTGGCCTTTAGGAAACTAGGAAATAAAAAAATTGTTTAAAAAAAATCCCCCAGAATAGACAGTGGCAAGTAGAAGACGGACGAGGAAAGCAGAATTGAAATAATAATTTGGAAGGAAAAAAGATAGAATACTAACAACAACTTGCATTTATATAGTCCCCATCATGCAGATAGCATCTCAGAGTGCATTGAATAGTGTAAATCTGGAAGGAAATAAACATAAAATTAAACCGAGTGCTATGATCCCTCACCTTGCATGACTTAGTGTCATATGGACAGGCATTGGCACCACCACATGAACTTTCTCCTGCTCTGCTGGAAATCCTAGTAAATAGACCAACTGAAGTTCAGCTGATCCTCTGCAGGTCACATCCTTCCAGTTCCTGGCTGTAAAAACACATAACAAAGACTGTAAACCAAAAAACAGCAAATCAATTTTTCCACCACCAACTCAAATTAACAACCAAACAAAACCCGTTTGTAACAGCATGGCTATCACATAGTGTTGCATTGCTACTCTCACCCAGCTCCAGGCCTTTGATAAGGCAACACTTCTTTCTACACAAATATAGAATTAAATGAAGGTAAATGAAATACATGGATCTTGAAGATCCCATGGAACTATTTAGAAAGAGAAGAGAGTTGCTGTTGGGTATCTTGGACAATAATCTTCCAAATAAGAAAATCTGGTCATTTGGCTCTTTGTGGGCATTACCGAGTGCAAATTGGTTGCTGCATTCACCTACAAAACAGTCTTTACTGACTTTACTAGATTTTACAGTAAATTCTGTGAAGCACTTTAAAAGGCTCTATATGAAATGCAAGGATTATTATATTATCTTATTAAACTCAATAGTATCATGACGGTTGTGCAAGAAACAGAATCACGTCAATAATTCAATTTTATCAACTTACTGTTTTGTTAGTCTCGCCCACAAATATACGGTCAATTCACGTTACAGCATATTCTGTGAAGCGTTTTGAGACGTCTAGAAGATGTGAAAAGCGCTATATCAAATGCAAGGATTATTTATATATTATAGATGCAGAAGTTATTAGGTGGCTTGGTTTGACATTTATACATTATTCCATTAACTTTGGTCAGAGATGGTGGGCTCGAAAACCACCTTCTGTGCTGAAAATACCTTTATCTATTAAATCTTGAAACTGGACTGTTCTTTTCATCGTTTACTATTTATAAATGTAATTAAAATACGATACTCCACAAATTTAAGTATTTGTATAAAACATTCAAATTTGATGTGCATCTTGCATTTCAGAGAATCTGAGCTACCCAAAGCTTTACCAGAATGATACCCACATGCTGTTTAATGGATTCAATCACATTAGAATCTTTCCCTGTGAATTCTGCCTTCATTATGCTGTGCTAAGGGTACTACAGACATACTTCAATGCAACATCCCTGGCATTAAAGTACCCCGAGCAAAACGTTTTCTGCTCTACTAAACCTCCAAGATCAACTTTACCATTTCTATTTTAATAAAGCCTAATTTGTTTTGGGATAATGAACATTCCTCCAGCACTCTTTCATTGAGCTTCCACAAGCAGGAACAGAACAGATTTCTGTGCAGTAAAAACCACATCAAAGACAAGAGATAATAGCCTGGCTGTCGGATCACATTCAATTCCCTCAGCTCGAATGTATGACTCTATACATTTTCAGTCAGCGCCATTTCGTGGATCGGGCAAGAATTTCACACAGTTGGACTGTGCACTGTGATGGCAGCAGATCAGTTTAACGAGATGCCGTTGTAAATAATAATCCTTGCATTTGTTGTAGCGTCTCTTCAATCAAGATGCCTCAAAACACCTTAGAGTTTTCTGCAATGTGCAGTGATTCTATTCGTAGACAAACACAGCAGCCAATCTGTACACAGTAAGTTCACACAAAGAGCAAAAAAATTGAGTAATTTTATATTGAGGATATGTTGGACGATAAATTACTACAACAACAACTTGCATTCATATAGCGCTCTTCACACAGGGTAGCGTACTGGAGCACTTTACAAAATAATAGCCTCGTAGAATAGCCAATGTGATTTAAATGGCTAACAAAACAAGTTATTTTGAAAAATACCTCCAATCAAAGACAAATATAGTCCAGGGGCAGTGGAAAAACACAGACACACTTCACTCTGTTTAACCCATCTTCCATATTCTCTTACCTTCTAGGAGATCAAGATATACCAGAAAGGCAGCATAAACCTGTGTACTATCTGAAACATCTAACGCCATCATCTCTGTGTACTGAAATCAAAACCAGAAATGGAAATCAGAAAACAGCACAATGATTAAAATAAAAGAGTATGGCAGAGACCTAGCAGTTAATGTCAAAGCTGTAATCCAACGACAAGCTTCAAGACACAAACCATGTGATAAAGACCAGTAATATTCTGAACTCCCTCCATTAGATTGCAGCTTTGGATTCAATTCCTGTTAACCATTTTATTAATTAAGCTACAATTGCTAGTGTATTATTACTGTTACAGCCAAGTTCATGCTGCAGTATAATTATGCTTCAAAGAGCATTTATGCTACGTGAAAATCCTAGTATAGAATCGCACTGTGATTTGGGTGCTAACCTAGAAATGTGCACTAATAGGTCTTGGATCACAGATGGCAACTTGAGGCCTACGTAACTATTTTACACATGAGCAATGCGGCCAGCAAGTTGGCCATCCCTGTCATAGATAACAAGATGTTTCTCAATGTTATACTTCACTGCCACACATGATAAGCTTCACGCTATCTTACATTACAGATATATCATTTACTGTTATACCAGGGTGGGTTACCTTGTTTGCCAGTGGGCAATGTCCTGCATTACCCGCAGCAACATTCACTCAAAATGATCAATGTTTGAATGCAATTATTTCATATCCGATCATTGTAAGATCTACTGAAAGATGGATTAGATCGAGTGAGTTGTGTACGCTGCCAATGCCCTCTGCAGACCATAGATGTGGATAGATCCCGTAGCTCAGGAACTGGACTTGTGTGCCATTGCAAGCATTCTCCACTCTTGAGTCAGAAGGTTGTGGGTTCAAATCCTACTTCAGGATTTGAACTCACACAAGTCTAAGCTGACGATCCAATGCAGTGCTGGGGGTGGGCTGCGTTGTCGGAGGTGCTGTCCTTCAGGTGAGACGTTAAACCGAGGACCCGTCTGCCTATTGAGGAGGACGATAAAGATCCCATGGTACTATTGGAGAAGCGAAGGGAGTTTCTCCTGGTATCCTGGCCAACAATCGACCAAATAAAAATTGTGGCTATTTGTGGGTCGGTGGTGTGCGCAACTGTGCTGCCGTGTTTTCCTACACATAGACAAAGTCAACCCTGCGAAGCGCTTTGAGGCATCCGCCCGCGGTGATACGGCACTGCACCAAACGCAATAATTATTATTATTTCACCCGGAAACCGCCAGAGAGTGGGCTCGATTCTGACGTTCTGTCGGCAAGAACATCACCTGGGAACCAGTTCAGCTCCGAGCAGAGTCTGCTCCCCACCCCCCCCCCCACCAACTCCCCGCCTCCCTCCCCGCACCCTGCCCAAACCCCTCCCTGCCCCCTCCCCGCACCCTGCCCAAACCCCTCCCTGCCCCCTCCCCGCACCCTGCCCAAACCCCTCCCTGCCCCCTCCCCGCACCCTGCCCAAACCCCTCCCTGCCCCCTCCCCGCACCCTGCCCAAACCCCTCCCTACCTCCCTCCCCGCACCCTGCCCAAACCCCTCCCTGCCCCCTCCCCGCACCCTGCCCAAACCCCTCCCTACCTCCCTCCCCGCACCCTGCCCAAACCCCTCCCTGCCCCCTCCCCGCACCCTGCCCAAACCCCTCCCTGCCCCCTCCCCGCACCCTGCCCAAACCTCCCTCCCCTGCCCCCCCCCTCCCCCTCCCCGCACCCTGCCCAAACCCCTCCCCGCACCCCCTCCCCGCACCCTGCCCAAACCCCTCCCTGCCCCCTCCCCGCACCCACCCCCTCCCCCCCCAACACCGGGAGGACAGTCATCAGTTGGTGACATGTGTGCAGCGCGCCATCCCCGCGTACCTGTCGGCGTGTCACAGCACAGCACAGCACAGCGCGCCCCCTCCCTCACCAAATCTGTACCTTGGGGTGCTGCACCATCCAGTCGAGCCGCTCTCCTCCCACTGACGCCCCGGGATCCGCCTCCTGGCCTTTCCCGGAGGAGCTGCCGGGCTGCGCCGTCGCCATGACTCCTGACTCCGGGGCGCTTCACTGTGTGTGTGTGTGTGTGCGTGTGAGAGTGTGTGTCACCGCTGACTTCACTCCGCCGGTGTCACGCTCACACCCCTCCCGCACAGCCACACCAGCGCCTGGATTTTGGTTCCGCCCTCGCTGCCTCAATCCAAAGGAGACCCCCCCCCCCACACACACACAGCCCCAGCCCCAAGGTGTGGTCGCTCCCATGCACAAACGACCTGGATTTCCGATGCTAAATCGCTCGAAAATAAAAAATAAAAAGCGCGCGTGTTTATATTTCCAGTGGTTCATATAGAGTTGCCCGTGGTTTCGATTACTTTCCTTACGCATTACTGTTGTTTCTTGAAGGTATTATTACCCCCAGAAAGCGATCCGCCAATCGCCCGGCAAACCGGGTTTCTACTTGCCGCCGGGTAAATAACATATAAGATTAGCGATCCTTGCATTTGATGTAGCGCCTTATCGCACTACATGTTTCGCCCTGCTGGGAATTGAACCCAGATCCTCTTGCTTGCGAGGCGAGTGCTCTAACCACTGAGCAACAGGATTCCAAATAGAGGTGTGTGGAGTAAGGAAACTTTCTTAAGGTTTCACCCCGCCCAGGAATCAAACCCGGGTCCGCCCACTTGCGAGGCGATTACAGTGAGATTCAGTTAATAAAATTGGTCAGATGGACCAGTTATCAACTATTACTGTACAACTACTTTATCAATACAATACAAATCAAAATGACATTCGTGTAGTGCCTTTCACGTTGGGAGAACCTCCCAAGGTGCTGGACAGTCAGGTATCAAGCAAGAAGAAAACATGAGATTTGATTATAATCCTTGCATTTCATATATAATGCCTTATCATGTTGTCGGTTGCCTTAAACTCTTCACAGGAATTACTGTTAAGTATAGTGACCGTGCATTTGTAGGCAATTGATTGTGGGCAGTCCCAATCGTGGTGGGTCTGGAGCCTCAGCTGACTGACCGGACACACATGTTGGAATTATGAGGGACAACTAATGTGCTTTTGCCTCGTAATGCACAGTATTTTAGCACAATGTACGTTCGCCTACAAAATACATATACCCAGACACTACGTAAATCCTTTAAAGAGCTTTGAGACAGCCTCCCAACATGAAAGGCACTATCTCAGATGTAAGGATTAGTATAAAACTATGTATTGTGTCTACAACCAATGTGAAGGACATGAGGCAGATTGCTCCCGGGAACACTTTTGGCAACAAATTCAAGAATGCAGAAACAAGGCTTCCACAAGGAAAATATTACTGATTAAAGACAAAAAAATCAACTAACAGGAATAAATGCAAGGGCTATAAATAAAGAGAATACTAAAGACTTTTGTATTATCTTCAAGCAATTGTATATTGTGTATGGAGGAAATAGCAGCCCCCTCCTGTGGTTATATTTAATGTGCAATAACACAAGAAGACACAGGGTGTCAGATTCAGTCCATCAAAACCAAAAGCTTGCAATTTTAAATTCTACAATTACACATGCTTGTAATGGGATGATGGGAATGTCATTTGTGACACACAGCTGGTCATGTTTCATGGGTAGTAATGCTACCTGTAATTTTACATTGATAGTGATCTTTTTGCCCAATTGCCATTTGGAAGCAAGGAAATATTTCAGTCTTTTCACATTTCACATTCTTGTGATTCTTGTGATGTTGCTTATTCATCTCCCCTCGGGAGAATAAACTCTTCTTATGCTCTGAATCTACTTCAAGTGTACCTCCATTGATTTCCTACCATTAACAAGATACAAAAAAGATTGCTCATGTTAGTGATATTGTCTTAACAGACTCCATTGGATGAGCCCCATCTGGAAGCAAGACAATGAATCAGAATGAGGTACTATCCCAAGGCGCTGGACAGTTGGGTCGGGACCCGAGCAGGGGGAAAATGGTCAGGGTGAGGGGAGGAAAGGGAGGGAATGAGGAGGGGGTAGAGAGTTGAGAGGGGAGCTGAAGGCACGGTCAAAGAGAAAGGTCTTGAGACCGGCCTTGAAGAAGGAAAGGGAGGAAGCAATCAAAGGCACTGGGGGATGGAGTTCCAGAGCCTGGGGGCTGAGAGGCTGAAGGCCCGGCCACCGATGGTAGGGCGGTTGGGGCGGGGGATGTGGAGCAGACCGGAGCCAGAGAAATGGAGGGTACAGGCACAGGATATGAGGAAGAAAGGACAGCTCAGGGTCGAACAGAACACCAAGGTTCCTGACTGGCTTTGAGAGGTGGAAAGTGCAGCCTTGGATGCTGATACTGTCAGCGCCTGAAGTGCGGAGGCGCTGACGCGAGCCAATCAGAAGGGCCTCAGTTTTGCGCACGTTGAGCTGAAGAAAGTTGTCTCTCGTCCAGGACTCAATGTCAGACAGGCAGGCTGTCAGGACATCGGTGATCGTGGAGTTGAGGGTAGAGGAGGAAAGGTAGAGTTGGGTGTCATCCGCATACTGTGGAAGTTAACCCCATGTCTGCGGATGATGTCATCAAGGGGGAGCATATAGAGGGTGAACTTGGCTCTTCAGTGAGCGGAGGTGGGTGGTGAACCAGGGGGAGGAGCGAGAGTAAGAGACAGTATGGGAGGATGGGGGCAAGAGTGTTGAGAGTGGAGGAGAGGGTGTTGTGGAGGAGGGTGAGAGCAGAAGAGGGGTTAGTGAGGGATGAAGGCCAGAGGGAGAGGAGTTCAGAGGACTCAAAGGCAGCGGTTAGGGATTGTGGGGGTAACTTCTTCCAGGGGCGGTAGAAGATGGTCGTGGGTCTGGTGGAGGTGGGAAGGGGGGTGGAGGTTGTGAAGGAGATGAAGTGGTGATCGGAGACGGCCTTGTCGGTAATGGTGACATCCGAGACACTGAGGCCCCGGGTGATCACCAAATCGAGTGGGTGGCCGTGAATGTGAGTGGCGGAGTTGATATGGAGGGAGAGGTTGAGCGAGGAGAGCAGGGAGGAGAAGTGTGAGGAGATGGAGCAGGAGGGGGTGAAGTTCAGGTTGAAGTCGCCCAGGATGATGAGGCAATCAGAGCAGAGACAGAGAGATGCTAGTAGGGTAGAAATATCGGAGATGAAGGTGGGAAAGGTTTTAGGGGGCCAGTAGAGGAGGAGGATCCAGTCAGTAATAATGAATTTTTGCACAGTTTTCTGTAAGGAGAAGCTCAGTCCATTGTGGAAAATGTCTTAAAATCTGTCTTCATTTGGAAAAAAGTTCCGATTAAGAACTGTGGAAAATTGGCTTCCAAATGAAGTCTGGATTTAAGAATTTTTGCACGATTCTGTGGAATCTTACAATTTCAGATGAGGATAATCTTACAGGCTAAGATTGGGTGATATTTCAAATCTGTGTTTCTAACCCTAAAAACCCCACTGAATGTCTGAATATTTTTTTAAAAAAATCTAATCAGTCTTTTCTCACAACAACAAGTTGCCCCAGGGATACATTACATCAACCCATCAGCTGATATCTCCTCTACATCATTCCCTCTATTCATTGAATTTGCTTTGATGAGTTCCTGCCATATGCAGTTTTCAAACCCCAGAAATAAAGGTTTTGATCCTTGATGAATGTATAATGTTTGGCATATCTGGAGGTGTTAAACAAAGTATCTTAAATGACTACCATTGTGTGCACATGTGTGTGTGTAAAAAAAGTTAAGTTGGATAAACAACTTGCTGTCTTCAGATCCAGGAGGAACTTTGAATAACATTAATAATCCTTGCATTTGATGTAGCACCTTCCACGTCATGAAGATGCCTCAAAACGCTTTACAGGAATATACTGTAAAGTGGACTGACTGTGTATTTTCCGGGCGAAATGAAAATAGGAACATGCCATCAATTGAGAAAATGACATCTGCTACTAAAAACGTGTTAAAAAAAAGACCAAGTTTGCTCTTTGCTAAGCAATGGTTTGTGCGTTAAGCGCAACAACAACACCAACAACAGATTACATTTGTGTAGCACCTCTCACGCCTGGAGGACATCCCGAACCTCTGGACAGTCAGGAATCCGCACCCGACCCGATGGTTGAGATCAGGAAGGGCGGAGAGCGGGGAAGCGTAGGGGTAGAAGGGCACGGCACGGCAGAAGAGGAGGGTCTTGAGATTGGGTCTCTAATGAGGCAAGGGGAAGGGGGCGAGGCGGAGGGACTGGTGGGATGGAGTTCCAGTGGGTGGCTGAGGGAGTGGGGTGGGGTTAGAGAGGTTGAATGCAATTCCCCTTTTGTGCTGGTGTCACACGATTTTAATTACGCACAACAGCCCTGACTGACACTGCGCTGGACAGACAGTGTACAGAGAGTGTCCCCCGGGCTGGGGCTGGGGCTGCCTGCGGAGGTGTACGTAATCGGGCCAGTGATAGTCAGAGCCCGGCTGCTACATAACAGCACCCACAGCCACACAACACACAGCTCAGCCCAGCACAGCTCAGCAGAGCTCAGCCCAGCTCAGCTCAGCACAGCAGAGCTCAGCCAAGCACAGCTCAGCCAAGCACAGCAGAGCTCAGCCCAGCACAGCTCAGCCCAGCTCAGCCCAGCACAGCTCAGCAGAGCTCAGCCCAGCAGAGCTCAGCCCAGCACAGCAGAGCTCAGCCAAGCACAGCTCAGCTCAGCAGAGCTCAGCTCAGCAGAGCTCAGCCCAGCATAGCCCAGCAGAGCTCAGCACAGTAGAGCCCAGCCCAGCTCAGCACAGCTCAGCTTAACCCAGCACAGCTCAGCTCAGCCCAACATAGCTCAGCACAGCTCAGCCTCACAGGAGCCGCGCTTTCAGCAGCACCTTCAACATGGCTGCGGGCAGCGCTGCGCCCGTCTCCCTCTCGGTGGTCGCGCTGCTGTGTGTGGCTGTCGGTGGGGTGGGAGCCGGGTATTTCGCGGAGGAGAAAACGACGGCAGAATCCGCTTTCCTGCGACCCAAGGTTTTAATAGCCATCCTGGCGAGGAACACCGGGCACACACTGCCCTACTACCTGAGCTGCATCGAGAAACTGGATTACCCCAAAGACAGGATCGCCCTGTGGTAGGTCACTTTTTTTTATTAATAATGATACATTTTTTTTGTGGTGGTGGTGGTGGTGGAGTGTGGGGGGTGTGGGGGGGGGGGGGGTGTGGGGGGAGAGGGGGGTGTGTGTGTGTGTGTGTGGGGGGGGAGTGGGGGGTGTGGGGGGGGGTGTGGGGGGGCTGCAAAGTCACACTGGAATTACAGCCCTCCTTTGAGAAATCAGTGCGAATGGAGATTTGTTTCCAAAAAAAAGTCCAGACGGGTTTTGAAGCCATTCAGTGGATTGGTGGATTGATTGAGTTGATTGATTGAGTTGATTGATTGAGTTGATTGATTGAGTTGATTGATTGAGTTGATTGATTGATTGATTGATTGATTGATTGAGTTGATTGATTGATTGATTGATTGATTGAGTTGATTGAGTTGATTCATTCATTCATTCATACGTTGATTCCAGGCAAAAATACACTACTGGAAGTATAAAGACTGGTTCAGTGTGTTGAGTGATCATCACTCAGGGTCGGAGGGAGTCGGGGCACGGGATCAAGTCGGTAGATTTGTTTCCCGACCACTGGTGGGATGTGCAATCTCAAATGGCACTTACACTCAGCAACAACAGCCAGTGACATTTATACATTAGGCATCTTTCACGTCGGGAGGACGTTCCTGAGGCTCATCAGCTGAGCAGTCAGGGATTTGAAGGGGAGCTGAGAAATCTGACAGCTCCTATCATACAATATTTTAGAGGCAACGTGACAAGCTCCTCTTTAGAAGGGCAGAGCCATCAGCTATGGCTCTCCTTTCACTAGATTTCTCTCCTCCACCTCCTCAACTGAGCGGGTGAGATGGAGGAGATTTAAAGAGCGGGCAAGATCCCCCTTTGGCCTCATCACGCGGGTCACGGCAAAATTGCAGAAATACGGAACGGTTGTAGGGGCAAGGTGGTATGGACTCAGTTTCCAAGGTCTTTTTTTTTCTGAGATTTTCCTCCCTGAGTCTTGACATTTCTGATTCATAAAGGCAAATTGCTAACAATCTGTGATTTTGCCCACAAAATACACAGTCAGTGCACTTTACAGTATATTCGTCTAGACGACGTGATAAGGTGCTATGTCAAATAGGAGGATTATTATTATTATCTGACCACCGAGGCTGCTTTGCCACACGTTGTGCAAATGCAGTGGCGGAAATCAGAACTTCGGATTGATTTAGATTTTGTTGAATTTTGCTTGTGCAGTGAATAAACCAGTGGTGTGAGGTGTGGGGAGGGAGATAAGGCAGAGAGAAGTGTCTGGTAATAGGTCTCCAATACACAGCTTTAGCGCTGCCCCTCACACGCGCAATTTAAGGGGTGGATAAATAAGATTTTTCTTCCACAATTAGTCTATTAAAAAGGTCTCTGAACCCTCCCAACTCTCTACTATGAATGGTTAAACATAATGATGTTATGTAAAGAAACTGCGCTATATAGCCACCTCCAAAAGAGTCAAATTCAGTCAATTAACTTTAAAGAGCATTTATAAACCTTATGTTAACTCCAGTGTTAATTGGACTTAACACATTGGACGGACTCCTGTTCAACCGTTATTACTGTTGCTGCTTCATGTGAATGGATTTAGTTTACAATCACATGAATATGTAATAAAATAAAATTGAGATTAAAAGTCTTAGGATACGACAGTTGCATTTGCCTGAGAATAAATCTCTCAACCCAATGTTTATACAATACATCTCTGAAGGTCTTAAAGGAGTTAAGGCAGCTAACCATGCTGGTTGTGATAGGAGAGAGATGAGTGCAGTGAGCAATGTTATTCCCTTAGTTTTACATGTACCTGAGGTGCATTTCACAAGTTATTCAAAATGCTTTCCTGCTGACAGATGTCTCCAGTTTTAAAATTAACACTAAATAATAAACCTTGTAATTGATGTAGCAAGACTGGGAGGACATCCCAAAGCACTTCACAAGATTCACCGTAAAGTGCAGTGATTGTGTATTTTGCAGGCAAATGCGAAAGCCAATTTGTGCACTGCAACATCCCACAAACAGCCCATGAGGTGAATGACCGATTTTATCCAGGGGATTGTTGGTCTGGACACTGGGAGAAAACTTCCCTTCTCTTTTCAAACAATAGGAATCTTTAACGTCCACCTGAAAGGGTGGAGGGGATCTCAGTTGAATGTCTCAATTGGAGAACGGCACCTCCGACAATGAAGCACTACAAAATACATGGTTCAGCAACGCTTTAACTGCCTGAGGTCCTGATTTGGTTACCTGGAGTAGGTAGTTGCATATTGTTGAATATTTTTTTTTGCATGAATAGACGCAATTCTGGGTGGAGAAACTCATGACTAGTGTGACTCAACTTGTGCCTGGAAACCAGCCAGAGTCTGATTCAGCAGAATCTAACTAGAAATGCTGAAGGGGAGAAAAATAATAATCGTTGCATTTGATAAAGCGTCTTATCATGTCTTTGAGACGTCTCAAAGCGCTTCACAGAATATACTGCAAAGTGTATATTTTGTGGGCGAAACCCAGCAGCCAATTGTGCACAGCAGTGGCCCACAAACAATGGTGGATTGGAGTGACTAAATTATTATTATTATTTATAAAGTTATTGTAAAAAAAAAGTTACTTTACTAGATCTGAATTCCACTTGTCATTGCAAAGTCTATTGTTTTTTTTCTTTAGAAATACTCCCAAACACGTCCCTGACTGGGGGTGACAGTAATTTGCAGCCTTGGATCCCGTTTTATATTTATATTTATATTTATTCGGCTGCATTAACACCCTACCAGCCAGCCCTGAGCTAAGGTACTGAGCTTGCTGACTGGCTGCACAGTGGAGGCTGGCGCTGTGAAGTCTTTTAACAGCTGAAAATGTTAAAGGGCTGTGCAATAACCAGTGGAACCTGGTGCAGGTCGTCACCATAGACCTCTTGTCCCCCTCCCCAACAGACCTGCCCTGTCGCCCGTGTGACTGACTGACTGACAGATGTACTGGGTCTGTCCTCAGCTGCTGGGCTCTGCTGGGCTGGGCTCTGCTGGGCTGGGCTCTACTGGGCTGGGCTCTGCTGGGCTGGGTTGGGCTCTGCTGGGCTGGGCTCTACTGGGCTGGGCTGGGCTCTGCTGGGCTGGGGTGGGCTGGGCCTGCTGGACTGGGCTGGTGCCGAGGTACCTGGGTGTCCAGACGGACTCCAGGCTTTGAGAGCTGGTGGGGCAGAGCCGCAGAAGAGCAGCAGAGACTGCCTGAAATGGACATGGATTCATCATCTATCTATTTATTTATTTAGTCATTCATTCATTCAATTCATTCATTCTGTAGAAAACTCTCGGCCCATCCATTTTGTAGCACATTTTGTCATTGGGGAATAAAAAATGTGTTTTTTTTCGAGATTGGTGGTTTTAAATTTTTTTTAGAAATAAAAAAACAATTTTTTAAAAAATCTCCAGTCAATTGAATTGACTGAATTTTCGATATTGTTGTCTTCAGTTCTCAGCATTTTTAGAATTAGGATTAAAAATGATCCTGTTTTATTCTCTCTTCCTCTCTCTCTCGCTGACTGATCTTGCTACAAATTATCCCTACATATTTGTTTTGCTTTAAGTTGTTGGTTTTGCTACAGGAAGGTTACAATTACACTCTAAATATACACAGTCCACGTTTATTAACTTGTTCAGTGTTATTACTGAGGAGGTTTGTTGAAAGTTATTAATAAAAATAACCATAGAGAAAAAACATTTCTGATCGTTTTTGTATATAATATACATATTTATAAAAANTATATTTATCAATCAAATACTGTTTTGTGAATTGTCATGAGACATCCTCCTGAATGGTGCTAAATACAGTAAACTCCTGATAACTGGTCACTCCAAGGGAAAAGGGCTCAGTGACTAGTTATGCAGAGCGGCGAGTTAGGCATATGTATAAATACATAAATAAATGTAGGCGGGATATTGATAGCATGATGACTTAAGTGGTAGTGAAAAGTTAAGCCAGGGTCGAGTTATCAGGAGTTTCCTGTTACTGTAACATGTTGTATGGTACAGCATTTTATACAATAAAATACAATAGAAATTACATTTGAATAGTGCTATGGAACCTTTAATGTTCACCTGAACAGACAAACTATTTTGGTTTTAGTGTGTCATCCAAAGGACATCACCTCTGACAATTCAGTGCTCTCCCAGCACTATATTACAGTGTCTACACTCTTGAGTTCAAAGTCCTGACATGAGGCTTGAATGCACAATTTTCTTACTCGGAGTGTTACCAATTGAGCCAGATTGACATTACTAGAATTAAGTGTCTTTTAGACTTTGAAACATTTGATCCTTCGTTCTCTTTACCAAATCATGAAAAGGATCAGCTGCCGCTCGCTCTCTTCAAAATGATTGTGAGAGGGCAGTTGCGTGTTGGTGATGAGTAAGCTCAGAGACACAGCTGTTGTCATAATAGCAGTGGACAGTGTAATGGGGAAAGCACAACTCTTGTGTCTTAGTATGTCAACACATGGATTATGCTCAGCCTATCTTTCTACAGCGATCATTGAACTAAATGTTATATAAGTATTTTAAAACCTTAAAGACAGATCACAGGATTTCATATGGATGACTTACTTTAAAACACTAACACGATAATAATGTTAAACTGCAGTTTTAACACTCATCAAAGCTAATGAACAGTGAGATTAAAATAGCTTTGTCCTCCAGATTAAGAAATTTTGAACATTAAAGTGGTTTAGAGGTTTCTCTGTGTTGATGAAAGGAATACTGTTATGTAACTCTTTTAAACCTAAGCAATATGTGCCAAATTGTATTGTGTAGTTCTGGACCTACCCTAAATAAACAAGATTAGTCTTCAATTTCATGGAAACTTATTGCCCTGCTCATATGAACTAATTTGTCAACTCGAAGAGAGGGATGATATGCTCTAACAATGAATTTCTCCAACAATAATAATCCTTGCATTTGATATAGTGCCTTACCACATCAACAGGACATCTCAAGCTGCTTCA